TACCTCTTGAAATCATTGTGATAAGGGCAGCCCGGATTCCCTTCGAGTCCGGCATTCATCGTTCTCTCCTCACCACCTTCAAACATCCCCCACATCTTGGACAGCTGGAGTGCGATAAATCCTGCCATGTACTGAGCCTCACGCGGCTCGTCAAGGCAGATCGCCATCCGTTGGGAACTTATAATGTCCCGTGACGTCAGATCGGTGTCGCGGTAATGCCAACCGCCGTCTTCTTCTTCTGACGCATAGCCGGATGTATATCCTTGCGTGTCCATGTCGTCATCTTCTCCCGGAACTTCCTCCGCTTCGTCCTCATCCTCCTGTGCTGCCGCATCGTGGTTAGCTTCTTCCTGTGCACGCCTGGCATCTCCAGAGACGTTGGGGTTTTGGTTGTCCTCCTCGTCATCGGAATTGATGTGAATGTAGTATCTTCCGATGGAGATCAGTTGTGCCTCGCACTCCAGGCATAAGCAGAAGCAGGTGGGGATCGCGGTCGCACATGATGGACATATCCGGCACCTCAGTCCTTCCCATGTCTCGTCATTCAGGATGACGACTTTGCTGATTTCGTCCCGGACCTCGTTGACCTGTGCATTGAACTCTTCCATCTTGTTGTTTCGATAGAGTTCGCAAGCACGATTAACCATGTCAACGATGTAGTGCAGATTATCGGCACCTGTCTCAGTCTCCGGCATCCTCTCGCTGATCTTTGCGACGTTCTGGAGGAACATCGCAGCCGACTCTTGGGAAGAGTTGACAAAGCCAGGGCAGATCTCGTTCTCCACACACTTCGAGTACGCCCTCTTGATGTCAGCGTACTCCAGGCGCTTCCCTCCGTTGCTTTTGCCAATCCAAATGGACTTGACCTCATAGAACGGGATCACGTCAAAGACCATGAAAGTCCCATTAGCCGCGACTCCAGCCCCATACCGCGCGAGGGTTGCACTGGGAATATAGATGATCGCAATCGGATCCCCTCTCCTCACGTTCCGTAGCGTTGTCTTCGTCGCCACGTTCATCTCATCCCATGGAGCAAACGCCCCGAAGTGCAGTGCTAGCCTGTTACCGCCATCGATTCCGCCGGGGACTAGCCCACAGCGTACGATGCTTGGCAGGTTTTCCACATACGTCACATGGAATGCTCCTCCGAGAGTATCACCCATTCTTGCGGAATACCTATTCGCCAGTGCGGATGAGCTCATGAATCCAAAATCACTGTGACCGGTTGTGACTCGGATGCACCAAGGTCTGTACCATCCATCGCATCTGTTGAACATCCTGTCGATGTCGTCCCGATCCACGCCAGCCTTGGTCATTTCCTCCCTGGCTGCCCTCGTGTCGTTCGGGTTCATGATGCTCGGAAACCTTGCTGCCAGAACCTGGAATCTCGATTTCTTGCTTCCGGATTCCTGCCACTTGATCACCTCCATGATGCCCATGTATCGTTTCGCTCTCGTGGTGTATGGTGGGAATATGTCGTTGTTCCGGTCGTCAATGACAGCAT